ACCAACACAGCATATTGGATTTTAGCTGGCATTTTGGTGCTTGGCCCCTTGTGTCACTGCTGAAGCCCAGAACAGACTCGGCAGCAAAAATTGTTAGCAGCATTTAACCACACTGGTTGTTGTTTCGTGATGGAGGCCCAAAGCAATGTGTTAGTGAGGGAACATTTGAAAATGGGATTCATTGTTTTTATAGCCACATTAGGCCATTAGAGAAAAATGAAATCAGATTTGCTGTTTGCAAAGAATGCAGGACTGGCTGGCCACACACCAAGATGTTGCTCCACAGAGAAAATAAGACAACCAGGGACGAACTGCAGCACAACTGCTTTTTCCCCCACACAAAAGAATAAAGACTGAGGCGTGGCCAGCATGTGAGGGAGCTGAAGAGTAGACTAAAGGGAGGCCCTTTTCCCCTCCTTATTCTTGTGTTAACTGTTACTGTAAACCGAGAAATGCTCATTGTTTCCAGAGAATAGAAACGATTTCCCCAGCTTCTTTATACAGTAAATGAGGAGAAATAATCAGATAGAAGATATTTAAAGCAGTCATGAAAATGCATTTTTATTAATTTCATTCTAGAGACCATCACTGATTTTACAAGATGGAACTTAAACAAGTTGATTAGCATCAAAGAAATTAAAGGTGTTGCAGAGATATCATATATAAGGTGCTCACGACTAGATTATTTCTAACCAGTAGAGAGCAGATAGTCTAATGTTACATAAATCATGTTAGGGTGAGAGGAAAGAGAGAAGTATTGTGGCTGACATCTGTAATCCCAGCACGCTGGAGCTAGAGATAGGAGGGTCAGGAGTTAAAGGCTAGCCAGGGTCTGATATGTGGAGAATTGGAGACTGTCTTAGTCAGGGTGACTATTGCTATGATGAAACACCATGCCCAAAAGCAAGTTGTGGGGAAAAGGGTTTATTTGGCTTATACTTCAGCATTGCTGTTAATCATTGAAGAAAGTCAGGACAGGAACTCAAACAGGGCAGGAACCTGGAGGCAGGAGCTGATGCAGAGGCCATGGAGGGGCCCTGCTTACTGACTTGCTCCTCATAGCTTGCTCAGCCTGCTTTCTTATAGAACCCAGGACCACCAGCCCAGGGATGGCATCATCCACAATGGGCTGGGCCCTCCCCCATCAATCACTGAGTAAGGAGGTGCCCCACAGCTGATCTTATTGAGGTATTTTTTAATTGAATTTCCTCCTCTCAAATGACTTTAGTTTGTGTCAAGTTGACATAAAACTCCCCAGCACAGACACCAATGGGGCTATTTAATACCTTATGTCAAAAGCAAGCAAAAATCAGGAAAGGGGTGGAGAAATGACTCAGTAATTAATTAATTAATTAATTTTATTTTATTTTATTTTATTTGTTGAGAGGAACTAGACTAGCCAGCCTCAAACTTAACGGAGATCCACACTTCCTGAGTGCTGGGTATTTTTATTTTATTTTTATTTTTTATTTTTTGGTTTTTTGAGACAGGGTTTCTCTGTGTAGCTTTGGAGCCTATCCTGGCACTCGCTCTGGAGACCAGGCTGGCTTCGAACTCACAGAGATGTGTCTGTCTCTGCCTCCCAAGTGCTGGGATTAAAGGCATGAACCACCAATGCCTGGCGGGTATTTTTATTTTTATGTGTTTGGATATTGTCGCTGTAGCCCTGTGGAGACCAGGAAAGGGTGTTGGATATCCCTAGAGCAGTGTTTCTCAGCCTGTGGGTCTCTACCCCTTAGAGGTCAAATGATCCTTTCACTGGAGTTGCCTAAATCCACTGGAAAACACAGATATTTGCATTAAGATTCATAACATGGGCTGGTGAGATGGGTCAGAGGTTAAGAGCACTGGGTGCGCTTCCAGAGGTCCCGAGTTCAATTCCCAGCAACCCACATGGCAGCTCACAGCCATCTATAGTGAGATCTGATGTCCTCTTCTGGCCTGCAGGTAGGTGTACATGCAGATAGAACACTCATATACATAAAAAAAATCTTAAGAAAAAAGATTCATGCCAGGTGGTGGTGGTGCACACCTTTAATCCCAGCGCTTGGGAGGCAGAGACAGGCAGATCTTTGTGAGTACAAGGACTTCTTGGTCTACAGAGTGAGTGCCAGGAGAGCCTCCAAAGCTACACAGAGAAACTGTGTCTCTAAAAAGCAAGCAAATTAAATAAACAAACAAACAAATAAATAAATAAATAAATTCATAACAGTAGCAAAATTAGTTATGAAGTAGTAATTGAAATAGTTTTATGGTTGGGGGTCACCTTAACATGAGGATCTATATTAAAGGGTTGCAGCATCAGGAAGGGTAAGCAACACTGCCCTAGAACTACCTGTTATGGGTGCCTGGAAACTGAATGTGGATCTTTTACAAGAGCAGCAGGCAGTACTAACCTCAGAGCCACCTCACCAGTCCTTTATTTTTTTACCCTATACTTTATTTTTGAAGGGCACAAGCCTAATAGTCTGTAATGTTATTTGCAGCATGCTGATTCTCCCACACATTCTTCTCAGTTCTATACTACATACCAGTTGGCAGCTGAATCTAGAGGCTCAGGCAGGCCACAACCAGACTTGGCGATGTTATTTATTAGTATATAGTTCTCTTCCTTTCGTGGTGTTAGCCGCTCTTGATCTTTCTGCCTAGAGTTATCAGTTTGCTGTATCTTGTATCTTTTGTAATTTTGATTTCTTTTTCATATATTAGTTATAAAATTTTCATGAACTTTTAATATCCTACTTTTCTGTTAGCATTTGCTCATGATTCTTTGTGTGTACATGCCCTCATGTGTAAGCAATTATGTTATATATATCATCTGTATAGCACATTTTTTATTTTTAGACTTACATATTTTGTTTTATGTGTAATGAGTTTTGCCTGCATGTATGTATGGGCATCATCTGCCTGCCTGGTGCCCGTGGAGGTCAGAATAGGGCATCACCTGGAACTGGAATTTAAATTGTTGTGAGCTGCCATTTGGGTGCTGGGAGATGACTCTTGCTCCTTTGCGAGAAGTCTTAACTACTGTGCTCTTAACTACTGAGCCATCATTCCAGTCTTCATTATGACACACTTTAAAAAAAAATTATCTCTGCATAAGTGTGTGTCTTTGTGTGCACCCATGTGCTCTGTGGGTGACCATGCAGGCTAAAAGAGGGTGTTGGATCATCTGGAGCTGGAGTGTCAGGCAGTTGTGAACCACCCAAAGTGGGTGTCAGGATCTGAATTCTGATCCTCTTCAAGAGCGGTAGGTGCTCTTAGCTAGTGAGCCAAGTCTCCAGTCACATAACACCTGAATTTCTGTTGTTTACACATTTAAAATATGTTTGTTAGAATTATTAGATTACATGTATTTATTTGTGTGTGTGTGTGTGTGTGTGTGTGTGCATATGTGTGTCTGGGTGTATCTGTGTATACACACATGATACTGTGTATATGTGGAACTCAGAGGACAATTGTAAAAGTTGGTTTTCTTCTACCATGTAGGTTTTGGGGGTAGAACTCAAGTCATTAGGCTTGGTGGCAAGTGCCTTTACTGGCTCAGCTATCTGATTGGTTCTATGCATTTTTAAATCATCTTTCACAAAGACAAAACCTGAACATCTTTCAATATCAGTCTTTAAAAATATGGCTTTTTGTGGCATTTCATTGTGTATTTCCCTGTGATCATGGCCAATTGACTTTTTTTTTTTTTTTTTTTTTTTTTTTTTTTTTTG